GGAAAATGCATCATCCAACCCGCGGGCATAACCTGCAGATCCGAAGGTTTGCCAGGGCAGCCTTTCCCACCTGGGCCTCCACGTCTATTGGAATCTGTGCCCCAAAAGTCCCAGCCAGCGTGGCCTCGAGGGGAGCCGTAATTCAGGAAATTAAAGGAGGGCGCCTGGCCGACTGAAAGTCGGGGCTTCCTTTCTCTCAGGCCATGTTCCAGATCTACTTCACATAGTTTGCTTCTGTCCCGTTCGAGTGATGACAGTCCTGGGAGCTCCTGTCTTTGTGGCGGCTTTGGAACTGGCCTCGAGTTTGTCTCGCCAGCTTTTCTCTCCAGAGCTTGGAAATCATCTCCTGCATTTCTTTAGCCTTCGGAGCAGGTGTGCCTGGGCACGTCCCAAGGGGGTTTCCCCATAAGTGAGAATGGCCAGGAACAGACCCCACTGGCTGAGACACACGGGATGCACCTAACCTGGTCTGGGGATTTTTAGGCCTGCACACTGCACTGAAGCACAAACTTACCGAAAGGGCCAGGACCCCACGAGATGCTAAGCCACCAACTAACCAAGACTGCAGCCATGAAGTCTTCAACTGACCCACTTAAGGCTGTTGTGTGAGCCCAGCCAAGACGTGGCCTGTGGAGCCACGTGGCTCAGTGAAGAAGCCCACACAGCCTGCAGCGTGTCCAGGGTCTCTCATAGCTGGACATGGAAAAGCTGCCCCCAAGAAGAACTGGGTTCTCAGAGGAGAGGGGTAGGGGAGGCACCGAGCCCCATCGAAGCCCCAAAGTGGTGGGGGAAAGAGCAGCTGGGTCTTTCCCAAAGGTCTCCTACAGAGGATGGCAGCAGCCCTTAGGTCTCTTCTTCCAGGACCCATCAGCCACCGCCGAGAACGCTCGACAGCTGCCTGGCACCTTCTTCGGTGGACTTGCCCTGGGGCCTTGGAAGGAGGCTGAAGGGCAAGACAGGCTGAAGGACGCTGAGCCGGGAGCCCCCCCGCCCCAGGCTGCCTGGAGACCTCTGCTGCTCCCTTGCCTGGTGTGCTTCCTGCAAGGGGCTCGGTCAGCTGGCTGCTGCTGTTCCGCCCATCCCTTTCTCTCACGTGGCACCCCTGGGTCTGAAGGGCATAATGCCCTGTCGCACGGGGGGAGCCGCTTCTTGAACCTGGTGACCAAATTCACCCATCTTCTGAGCTCACACCGTACACTGAACTTTAACGCGAAGTCCCAGGTGCAGGTGTCCCTGGAGCATGGTCAAAAAAGCCAGGGTGGTGTGATCAACGTTTTTTATGTGCATTGCATGTGTGATGTAGATAAAATATTGGCAGAGCCTTTGTTGCTGATGACTATCTTAACTTTATTGGTCATCCTGTGGATTTGTACCGCACGCAACGCCCCCACCCTCCAGAGAACCACGTCTAAGCAAGGCTCAAGGGATCCAAATGGAGCGCATTGTGGAAATGCACCTGCTCGGTTTGGAGCTGCCTTCCTCAAGGATGTGGCGCAAACCCATGAAAGGTCCGCCAGGCCAGGGCACCAGGGTGGTCCGTGGGGAGACTCCTCCGTGCTTACTAATGGTAGCTGCCACCAACTTTCTCCTTCATTGCTCACCAGAACAGCAAGAAGTTACTGGAGCACGCCTTGTTTGTGCCCTGCAGCTGCCTGGCTTGGTTCAGCTGCTGCGAAGAGTCCCCCTTCCAAGGGGAAGGCTTGTAGAATTCCCCCCATCCAGCAGCCGTTGCACACCTTCACCCACCCCGGCTGAGGAACCGGAGGGGAACAAGGACCAGGGAGGCTCCTGGGGAAATGGCCAACTTCTCCTACCTCCAAACAGCCCTGGGACCTGGGTGTGCTGGAAATCCCTCTCTCTTGGCCGTCTGCGGGCTCAGCTGAGTGTCCGTCCGGGACCCCAAGACTCGGGCCGTTGAGGTGCAGCAGCTTCAGCAAAGGAGAGTGGCCGCTCTGGAGGCGTTGTGCAACAGGAGGCATCCATTTCCAGCAAGCAAGCAAAAGGGCCCGGGACAGTGGAGACGCCAACCAGCTGACGGCAGGGTAGAGGTTCTTCTCACCCTCCACAGCTCCAAACTGGCTGGAATGAGTGAAAGGCCCCCAGGTTGCTGGTGGAACCATAACTTCCCATCCTTGCCAGACCTTCAGCCCCCAGAGGTGAACACATTGTGATTTCTGCCCTTGGAAAATCCAGCTGAGGTTAGGACCAGCACTGGGGTAATTCAGCTCCTCTGGAGCCAAGAGGATCTACCAGGTCGCCCAACTCTCGGACTGTGTTCACAGCCCACCCTGGACCACAAGCCAGCCAACAATATTCAAGCTAGCATTTTGTGCAAACCCAGCTTCGAGTTCAGGCAGAGGCCCAAGCTCAGAAAATTATCAGTAACCATTTGTTTATTGATTTATTTTCAATAACTGTATTAGATTCTAAGACCTCAAGATGGCATAGAGGAGGTGGCCTGGGCTGAGAGAGGCTGGCATAAGTCCCCCGGGGGCTTCTTCAGCTTGAGCCTCCCTGGTCCTTGTCCCACATCCTCATCATTGCCCATACCAAGCCTTTTACTGGATCAGCTCCATAATAGTGATAATGATGGTGATGATGACGATGATGATGGTAGAGTCCGGGAGGGGCTGTTGATGCAGGTTCCTCCTTTTCGGTTGTTTCCATGAACAGGCTAGTATTCCCTTGCCCTCAGAAGCCAAGCACTCTTAGGAAAGCCATGAGACTTTATTTTATTTAACTTTTTGAGGATAGCTGGAGAATTTACTGAGTGCTTAGTAAGACCCTAACGTGTGGTTCCATTTCCCCTTCCTGGGGCTGAAGTCTTTCTTAGGCCCAGCGGGGAAAGGTTTCCCCCCAGGGCAGGCCCGGAGCTGTTGTGGCCTGGCCAAAGATTCGGAAAGGGGCAAAGAGGGGCAGGTCAGCCCTCCCCCCCCCACACGCCCAGGGTGAAAACTGAACACTTCCAAAGCATGAAATGAGGCAATGCGTTTTTGAAAGGGAACCGGGTGCTGAATTTCAGCAGCAAATCACGCGGCCAAATTTTGGACGTATAATAAAAATTGTCCTACTATAACTAGGCTGCAAAAATCTGGATGCTGACTAAATGGGAATAAAGGGTTAGCCTGTATCTCTTTACTGACGTCTAGTGGTCGTCCAGCGGTTTGCAATCTGGGTGTAGCAGGCCTGATCAAAGGGACCTCAGATCACGAAGGGGGCTTTCTGGCCCAAAGTCCTACATCACCGTCTTCCTCTTCCTCTGTTTGCCGGCAGGATTTCTTTTCTGGCAAAATTTAGCCTTCCTCCTTGGTATAAGTCGGGGGGCATCCAATGGGCAACGAACTGAGGAGCTTCAGCACAGATCAAAGGAACTAATGATTAATTCGCAGAACTCACTGCCAGAAGATGTGGCAATCTCTGGTTTAGATGTCTTTAAAAGAAGGTTCAGCACATTTGTAAAGAATAAAGGACACCGTGGTTAGAGTCAGAACTTTTCTGTTTGGAAAGAAAAGTGGGTGCCAATTTCCACTTTCTCCTGCAATGGAAGAAAGGTCTTGTGGCTGTGGGCCTGTGGGCTTCCCAGACTGGTGTGTCAGGGCAGGAGGCAGGAGAAGCCTGTTGATCAGTGTTTCTCAACCTCAGCGGCTTTAAGATGTGTGGACTTCAACTCCCAGAACTCCCCAGCCAGCTTTGGTGGCTGGGGGGTTCTGGGGGTTTAAGTCCACACAACTTTAAACAAGCGGATTGAGAAACAATGCAATAA